GCAACTGACACAGGGCTTCATGTAATATCTTGCACTCAGGAATGATAAAACCATCCCGTCGAAATACAAAGCCATCTGCCACAACTCACCAAAAACATCCTAAGGCCCGTGTTCGTATTGAACTTGACAACTTTTAATTGGAGGTGTTAGTAATGGCAAACGGCTGATGCTACCATGGCTGTCCATTGCTTCCTTTTAAGCCTTATAATTTTTTCTTTCGTTGTGCTGATGAATACTGACAACTTGTGTACATTACGTTTTTTACGTAGACGGCCATCAGTTCTACTAGATTTCAGCCTTACATGCGTGTACAAAATTAGTATGGCGGTTATGACCTACCATTCAGAGGAAGTTTACTCCCGGGCAACGCCGAGCTTTACTGCTAGTTAGAATATAAAGAGAATAGAACAAAATAGTGAAAGATAATAATCGTGCGACTAGTTTTTGTTCACTTCCCATTAGTGAGGTCCTTACGTATACTCTTTACGCTGTCTATAATTGGTAAACATGATCTTTAACTGACACACCACAATGGTTGACGGAAAAGTATATATATATATATATATATATATATATATATATATATACAGAGAGAGAGAGAGAGAGAGAGAGAGAGAGAGAAAGAGAAAGAGATAAAAGTACATTTTGACTGTTTAAATAACGTCACATTGAGTAGCTTGAAATTAGCTCCAGCAAAAGATTTAACCAAAAATAGTCACATCTTTTTCCATAAGGGAATAAGGGATCGTATATTGAAGTGTGTATATATATATATATATATATATATATATATATATATATATATATATATATATATTCAAACATCAAACACATCGAAGGACTAACCGCTCTTAAAGAAGCACTTATAAGAGAAAAAAAACACAAGACTCCCCCACAGAAGTTATTATAAAATTTATGGAACAATTGAAAAAATAGAAATAGATAGAAAAGATAACATTAGAAAAATTCAAGAGAAACATGAAGGCAAAACACTTCGTCCAGACGAGTTTAAACAGAAATTTACCAACACAGATAGAATAAATATATTAACCCATAAATCAAGCCCTATCCACATTTCTCACCCACACAAAACAGACATGCTTGCGGAGGTATTGAAGTCTCACACTTATACACACATCCATACTAATGTATACACTTACACACTTCATGCATACTTCCAAAGAACTAAAAGATAACATACACTTAATATACACACACAGACCCTTCCCAGCTACCAATAAAATTGTGAAAATGACCAAGAATAGAAATCTGAATCTCCCCAGCATCCATCTTAAAAACAAAATAAAAGAGCTCGTTTGACCAACACAAGGACTGACCCAAATTTACGATAAAAAACAAATGAAAACTACAGATAAAGTTCATTTTCTTCAGGAAGTCATTCATTCCTGTAGTTCACTGCTACTAACAAGCAAGAATTTATTTTCTCTCGATAATGGCCATGCTGGCCGAAACTAGTTGAGGAACCTAAATGAAATAATAAAACAAATAATATTAATATACAACACTCTGTCTGAAAATTTTAATTTTTTAATATTCTTATTGTTCAAAACACACACACACACATACACACACATATATATATGGTGAAAGTCTTTTTCATGTTCGAACCTAATCTTCAAATAATATATATATATATATATATGTGTATATATATATATATATATATATATATATATATATATATATATATATATATATATATATATACGAGTTGCGATGCATAACTTGTTGTCTAAATTACGCAATAATGAAAATAACATTGGCATCTCAATTTAACAGTCATATTTACAAAAATTACACAAAAATATTTTGAAATACTAAACAGTAAAATTATTCCATAAAATCGTCATTGTCTTCAACTACATCCTCCAGGCAACTCCGGAATCTCCTGCAACTCTTCTGGACGGTCTCCTTGTTCAAGTTGATGGATGCTGCCATAATCCTTGCCTTCAGTTCATTTTTGGTGTTACAAGGAGATTTGTTGATCTCTCACCCAACTGCACCCCACACATAATAATCAATGCGGTTGCAGTCTGGGGAGTTAGGTGGCCTAATGTAAGAGTTGATGTTGTCGCAAAAATTGTCTGACAGCCATGACTGGGATCTCCTAATTGCGTGACATGGTACTGAGTCCTGTTGCCAGATATAGGGTGTTCCAGCAGCCACTCTCTTAACCCAGGTCATCATTACCTCCTTAAGACACTTAATATGGGCCTCCGTGTTGAGTTTGAGGCCCGCATAAACAAATTTGGAAGTTCTTTTCTTACCAGAACGATCAGAGTGAGTTTTCCGAGCTTCGTAATCATCATTAAACTCATCCAACTCTTTCCAAATCCTCTACACTCTCCTCAAATTAACACCTAAACACACTGAAATATTCGTACTGGAGCTTCTGGTGTGAATGCCATGCAGTACAGCATGCCGTTTCCAAATTTCTGGCGGAGTGAATTGCGTCATGGTGCTTTTTTTTCTTACAGACGGTGCCTAACTGACCCTACTATACTGTGCAGTCGGCAAAACCAAATAACACACATGCACGAAATTAAAAATATATATATATATGCGTCAATATCTTTAAGAATGGTATGAATTCATTGCTTCTTCTGCAACTATGATTTAAATAGCAAGGCAGATTTGACTCTTTAGCCGAGATTGACAACAAGTCTAAAGTCTGAAATCAAAACCATCTGTGGTCTTGGGCTCTGATTTTTTTTATTGCTTTAAGTAACTTTCATTTCTTTTTTTCATTGTTCTGCTATCCATTCACAGAAACATCTCAATATTTACCCCTCCCCTTTTTGCCATTAGTATTTTCTGTCAGTGTAAAATTCTCTAAGTCCTCTTTCCCCATTATGTGTCTCAGACATTTAAACTCTCTCCTTCCCATTCTAAGAATCTTTTTTGGGTCGTTTCATTTTTCCCTTTTCAAAATCTCTTCCCCGTTTTTATCACATGCTCCGTATATGCAATTCTTAACATTTCTGTCCGCTTCAAATCCAATTCTTTATCTAATATCCTTATCTCTTAATTTCTTTTCTTTTTGCTTTTTAAAAATAATGTTCACCCTGTACAAGTTACGTGAGCCACACAAGGTAGAGGGTTACAGAGTAAGATATAGGGAAGCCTAACCCTAGATTGTAGTGGTCGTAGAAGTATCCTCTTAGGAGTTGGTTCCACAAAGGAGCGATTCGTGAGAAGAATCTGCTCCAGTAGAACTTACATATCACCAATGGGATGCGAAGGTGGTTCGTTACAACGGACGTAGCATGTCAGATTTGACTCTTAAGCCGTGATTGACGTGAAGGTTATAATTCGTGGGACTAAAGAATGTAGTTTTTCTGAGTATAGTTTCTGGAAGGTAGTTTTCGTTTATCCTGTATGTTTTCTGATTTCTCATGTTATTTTCTGCTTCTTCTTTAAAAGCAAAATACGAAAAGAAAATCCTGTCCAACGGTTAACAAGGATGAATATTTTCATTTCTCGCTATTTGGAAAGTGAGAATTCGCACCCTACATCTTATTTTCTCAATAAAAATATTTCTGGTCTACAGTTATCGGCATATTCACGATAGATGAAGAGAATTCTAGCGAACATAATTTTATAATAATTTGCTAATTATTCGACTGTCCTATTAACTAACAACCTGCCATTTCTGGTTGGATTTCAATCAAACATTTAATTAAGTTCATGTTCGTTCCCAGAAACTTTTTAAACGATATCCGTCTGGCATTATGTGATTTCCAGCCATAATTATGAAACCTATAAAGGGTAAAACATTCCTCTGGTCATCATTTGTAAAATAATTAAGTGAGTAAAAAAAAAGAAAAAAAATAGAAAAGGACCTTTATCGCCAGATTAATCTCGGCACACTTGATTAAAGTCAGGTTATCATCAGAAAGAATAATACTGTTGAGTAGCTCCGATATTCGTTTCATTTGTATCTATTAACTTTCTTATAGTGACAGAAAACTAACAAAACCATACCTGATTTTGCAGGAGTTATTCTATACTTCTAATATCTATGCTTAAACTCTTAAATTTTACTTGCTATTTATTTATTTTCCTCCCCGGTCTTTTGAACAGGATGAGAGGTTTATCCCTTGTTTCTTTTTTAGGATTCGGTTTCCGGTTCCTTCTAAAGTCTACTTCAACTCTCTTCTTCTAACGTCTCCATCTAAACTCTAAAGTTTTATTTATTATTTTATTTTTTCGTCCTCACAGACAGGTTTCTCATATCGTCCGGTTCACTCTCCTCATCGATCTTTTGAACAGTAGTAGTGGTTTATTCCTTGTTTCCTATTGTTTTCTGTAATAATAGTTTAATCGTGACGTATTTCTAAGTTTAACAGAAAGAAGAAATCTATTAAGTTGCTCCAATATTGGTTTCTTTTGTAGGGATTGACTCTCTCATATAGTGACAAAACTAACAAAGCCTGAACTGAAAACATACCTGATTTTAAATGAAGTTAATATTATTCTTTGAAATAATTCGCGGGAATTTTAATTGTGAAAAATTTCTAAATTTAACTTAGGATACTTGGTTATCAGTTTACTCGTTTTTTTTTGTTTTTTTTTTTTCGGCAGGATTATTAATCTTGATGTAATACTATTTGATTATTTTCCTGTTCTAACTTAGAGAGGAAACTATAAACTTAATTAGTCATTATTAATTCAATACAAATAACCATTTTGAATGAACTTAGTGTCATACAAGAAATGCGTCGTTGCTATGATCTGTGGTGGGTACGATAACTCCGATTTGTTTCGTGGGCCCTAATGTAACAACCACAGAAACATTAATGAACACAAACATGGATTTATAGAACAAACAATGATAACTATCTATTAGGCGGAACAGTGGCGCCGAGGAAAAGAAAGCAGATGAGAGACTGTGTCAGAGCAATCAGTTCGGTGTGGGAACGACACGCATCGGTCATAAATCACACGCGTAAACTTTTGGGGACGTATTTGATTTTAGTATGCGAAGCTCATACTTACAAATAAATCTAATTATCTATCGACGGAAGGTTAGTGCTCGTATCAAATTCCTCGGCCGTTTTAAGGCGCCACTTTGTCGTGTAGACGTGTTGTTCCTGATCTGTCGATGTGCTTGCTTTCTCCGTCGTTGCTATACCACTATCCGTTTAAATGTTGCTTCCCCTTTGCTTATCTCGGGAAAAATGGGCTCGACTTGACCAAAATTTTCTCCATTTGAGTGGCCAGACGTTAAATCTTTAATTCTGGTTCGTAGTTTTGTTATTTTACTGAAACTACACCCGCGCGTTTTTTTTTTTATTTTTACATTAGAGCATCTAAATGCCTAAGTTAACTAATGTTTTAATACTGTCCACATCTTTCCACACGCGGGAAAATACCTGTTAAAGTTTTGGAGGTGCGACAAATCCCTTCCGCGACGTCCTTCTACTTCGGGAAGATGGCTTCATATTTGACCTGCCTCAGGCATTTTGAAAAAGTGTACCCAACTGAATTTTCCATTCATCGTCTTCAATACAGAGATCCTGATCACACGCTCAATTCACACTTAAATGCTAAAGGCCTGCAGACTTTCATGACAATATGCTTGCAATGAATTTACAAAAAGCTGAAGTGGCTAAATGAACTGAATGTGGTACCATGCAAATAAAATAATTGCATGTGGTGTCATATGCCCTAGTCGACCAATGGATTGATAAGGCAATCATACGCCGACCAGAAGATATATACATTCTCACACCCATGGAGAGATACAAACTATCTCTCCCAAATCGCGATAATGGACAATTGGTAAACAAAAAAATATTTTAAGAACACTGTTCGATTGGGATAATCGAACAGTAATCTTTTTCCAGGTTCGCTTCGGTTTCAACACAAATACTGATCCACAGTTCAAGGACGAACGACAAGGCTTAGCGGATTTTGATACAAGAACTTTAATATGTACAGATATACAAAATATTAAAATAAAAGTAAATATAAGTATGAGTAAAACATCCGACGACCAGATCTCAAGACTTATGATGGGATATCAAAATATGCCTAACTCCAAATGGATTCGACTGAACCCGAACGGACAAAAATATAAGTATGAATTACTACGAATGCAAAAATCAGCACATAACCAAAAGAGATGCGATAGGAGTTACAATTATTATTTTGACATGTGGAAAGGTGTTTGCAAGAACATAATATTTATGGATGTATGTGTATCTTTCTAATACGGGTCTAAAATATATAATTACTTATCTTTATATTCAGTTCTCTTTTTTTATCATTTTCCTTTCTTTTCTTTTCTTGACACAAATACGATTTCCCACACCGTCCGGCTGTAACAGAGATATACACTTTCTTCCTTTCTTTGGTTTTCCTTTTTTTCTTTCCTTCTTTCTTCTGTTGTATACAGTTCAGTTTCCGAACCCGACTCGCTACAACAGGGATATACACTTTCTTCCTCTCTTTGGTTCTTTCTTTCTTTCTTTCTTTCTTTCTTTCTTTCTTTCTTTCTTCTTCTTTACACAATTCAGCTTGTAACAGAGATATACACTTTCTTCCTCTCTGGTTTTCCTTTTTCTTTCTTTCTTCTTCTTTACACAATTCAACTTGTAACAGAGATATATACTTTCTTCCTCTCTGGTTTTCTCTTTTCTTCAAACGCAGGCTGTATTCTCAGCGTACAAATTTCTCTGCGTCTTCAATTTGGGGTTATCGAACAGAAATACTTGTTCTTATATTTCTTGTCCGGAGTTGCCTGGGATGAATCGGAGAAGTTCCATCATTATCAAACGAGTCTTATCTTTCCATTCATAAATTATCAGCGCTTCGATTTCGAAGACAAGACAGCAACTGACTCCCAAGTAAATTTCTGACTCTCACGTGTCTTAAGTTTTGGCGCGAATTCCCGCTTACATCAGTCCCCTGTCTAGCTTCTGTCTAGACATTTGTTGCCACGGGTAATTGGGTCAGTCAACCTCTTGACTTGCTTTCACAAAATGTCACAAGACTTCCACGTGACCCCCCCCATTCTGTTGCTAGGCGGAAATTAACCTTAATATATGCGTGTATGCTTGTTTAGGCTATTTGCGTCCGTCACAGTGGACCTTCAGAGAATTAATAATATTCAAGACCTTTAGGATCCCTTTATATATGCGGCTGTTTCTTTTCCAGCAAGATGGCTTCATACATGTCATGAAAGGATTATTCTTCGCGTTTCCTTGACTTAATCCATTGATCCTATGAAATGGCTGATCGACAGAGTGCTATGTTGATTTCTTTTCTGTGGACTTATCTAAATTGCCAATCCCCATCTCTCTTTTAAATAACGTAATAATTATTGTGTAATTTAAAATATCTAGTCTTTAGCAGTTAATATCTTCGGATGTAAAGAAATTAATTTTCTTTCATTCACTCACAATGCAAGAAATATTTACATTTTTTTACACATAGTATCCTAAACAATGGGCCACGTCCAAAATATTAATTCTCAAGCAAATTTAATTTTAAATATTTCAAACTGTCATTCATCAATTTTGGATTGCATTACCTGTGATAAAAGATTTGATCTTTAAAGCATGACTCATATACACTACCACTAAGCTAAAACAGAGAGGTTGTAAGTGAGAATCTCAAGACGTTCCCAGTAAACAGCTGTGAGTGTTCTTGAGATATTCTCAGGCTTAAAACTGACATAAGGTATCGGCGTTAGTTACATTTTTTATCCTGAAATCACATAAAAGTAGGTTTTTCCTTTCTATTTCCTTATGTAAATGCTCGGGTTTGTCGATAATTTGAATAGCAGACAGCCAAGTTGTCAGCCATTTGCAATTCGTTTGTCTTCATGGCGTTTGATTTACTAACACTTTCGCTGGACAGAAATGCGCATGCGATTGTGGAATGATAAAAGGAATCACAAAAAGGTTTAAGCACAACATAGAGAATCGATATTAACTGAAAAAACTGAGCCGAAACCAATCAATAAAATCATTATATATATATATATATATATATATGGAACGAATAAGAGAGAAGAAAATTTTCACAGATTTAACGTTTCGCTATATAATTTAGCTTTATCACGGCACATATGAGAATAATATAATGTAATTCAATAATAAAAGTAGACATATTACAAAAGCAATTTATAGCCATCTACGGACAGACTGTTTCGCAGCTTATCAGTGTGAATAGCCATCCGATTGCTTCAAGCCGGGATCGAAAACCGACTGATTTTGTATCAGCCGGTGAATCTACCTCTAAGCCACTGGCGCATAGTAGGGATAACGGTAAATTTAAAGTTATAAAAGCGTATGTTTAGATAAATACGCCAGTGACTGGGAGAACTCGATTCGTTTTATCGAAGAGTCTTGCATTATATATATATATATATATATAAACCTAATTCAGCGTTATCTAAATATAATGATTTCTTCTCTTATCAGTGCAAAAATCGAGAACAAAGAAAATTACGTGCATAGTAACTAAAAATGTAAAAACCAAGATTATTGTTATATTTTAAAAAAGAAAAAATATAACATTAAAGGCTAATTATCTTTTAAACTCACCAACTACTCCTTCTTTTTAATTAGAAATGACTGGTAGGACTTAATATACATTGCATATAACATCTCTAATTCATAACCTGTTATCTCATGATTTTGCAGATTACTCTTGTGTATCATATAAATAAATTTATATTTATATATGTGATGTGGGCCCGGATTAGAGGTAAGAAAGATATATTAAACAAAAAGGTTACAAAGATAGTGTAAGTGTAAGCGGATCTTACTATGTGCTAGTGTCCAATATTGGTAGTCGTACGCGGCTGATACTACGGTATTAGAATACTCTCTTTCCTCCTCTTCTTCTTCTCCCTAGAGTGTTATATCGCATACTTTATATAGTCCTGGAAGAGTCCATGTTGTAGGCATGTTACGGTCTCACAATAATATGTATATATGTAAATATATATTCACGGGGATACAAAATTTTATTGGACCAATAAATCAGATATATCAAAATGCATTTCATAACAAAAATAAGACATTTACATGACAATAATGGGGTAACAAAGAATACATATATTACCGTAAATCTTCTATAAGCCTTCTTCCACTTTTTGGCAAACTACTAGAGATCCTAATCAACTCTGAATTGGTTAAACATCTCATATAGCAGGGTCTTCTTTCAGCGAGCAATATGAATTTCGCTCCTCTAGGTTTAATGCTGGTATATTAATGATTATTGCTGAAAGAATCTATCAAGCTTTAGACTAGTGAAGTTCGGGTTGTTGATTTAAACATCTCGAAAGCAATTGACAGGATTTGACACATCATTCTTTTTCACAAGTTGATAAGTTATTGTTATTTCCGGACGAATATTTGAACTGATTCAGTTTTTCTTATCAAATCGCGAAATGAAAGTTATCTTAAGCGGCCACTCTGCTAGATTTTTTTATACTGAAGCAGGTCTCCCTCAGGACTCTATACTTGGACTTACATTGTTCTTAATGTTCATCAATGATTCTTCTGATAGCATCAGTTCTAACCTTGATGACGACACAACCATTTAATAATGTTTCTCTTTTTTCTTATTCTTTCACACCCATTACCCCCTTGTTTTTTAGTGGCTTTACTGCTTTGCATAGGGTGAAATAATTTAAGAAATATTTTTTATTAGCAATACTCAGCACTGTAAACAGGTCTGGACTATAAGAAGGGGGACACTACTATTTTTCTTTTTTTATCTGGTGTTCAGCTACCGCTAAACCAGTTGCATTCATACACCTATGTAAATTGTTCATCGTTCCCTTGCGGATAAATACATGGATAATGGTTTTAGCGTTGCAATGGTTTGTAAATTAATTTAGTATAAAAACCCATCGAAAATCATTTAAAAAAGGATTTCAGTTATTTACAATTACGCTAACTATTACGAATAGAGTTTAATGAATTATTAATAACTTCTACAAATCTCAACTGCCACTATTAATCTTTCATGATGCAATTTGTCGTGCTACAAATATGTTTAAACATATATAGGTTGCGGTCGAAATACCTCACACATATACCATTCATAAGTACCAACCACATATATTAGTGGCAATGGCGTCTTCATCTAACTAACCTAGATCATTATGTGGGAGATATTCCTTGGGATATATGTTGTAGGTATTTCTGCCGTACCCTGTATTAACCTGCATGTTTAGTCACTTTTAGAATGTAGTAACTGCTGATAATTAAGCAAAATCTGCAATAACCATGTAGTAAAAGACTATTTTGAGAAAATATTCAAAAGTCTTAAGTTTAAGCGCATTAAAATGTTCATCCCCCCCTCCAATGAAAAATGTCTCTCGGTAAAGAGACAGCACTCAAATATTCCACTGTGGAAATAACAGGCTGTTCGATCACGCCTCGGTACTCATGGATTTGTTTCTTATGACGAAATGAGCTTAAAGCATGCAGATAAAGTTATTTGTGTATGCTAAGCAGGCATTTACCAATAATAATAATAATAATAAACACAAAAATAGTAATAACAAAATACAAAAAAGGAAAAAGACAAAGCAGGAGTCAAAGAAGGTGATTTTTTTTATAGAGGCGGTAAAACAAAGAATTGCTAAACGACTAAGATAAATGGCGCCAAAATGAAAACGAGGCGAAACAAAAGTGGGAGGAAGAATAGATTGGTTAAATAAAGCCTTTAAGAATAAGAATCACAAAGACAAAGAAAGATGAGATGAAGGGAAGATTGAGAATGTGTATAGGGAAAGAACGGAAAAGAGAAAAAGAAAGAAATCGAAGAATATGAGGAAAAAAGCGATATGGAAATAAGAAAGAACGAAACAGGGAGAAAAAAGGAGTTGATTCAGAAGAAAAAGAGAAAACAAGAAGAATATAGAGCCAAAGAGTGTGAAAAGATAAAGAAAGATAAAGAAAGTATTAAGAAATGTGAAAGGAAAGAAAGATCAAAGGAAGGAATAACATGAAATGGTTTTGCTTTATGGCTGAAGTAGCTGCATATTTCTTCCTTTTATTTGAAGTCGATAGTCGATTACAGGTAATAGCTAAAATTTCGAAAAAAATAATTTGCAAGGGTGGCACAGTAAAATTTCCCAAATTTGACTCTGTACCGTACTAACAATAGCTCAGTAAATACCAAAAATAAGAAAGAAAAGAAAAGAAACTGAATGAATAGAGAGAGAGAGAGAGAGAGAGAGAGAGAGAGAGAGAGAGAGTGTGTGTGTGTGTGTGTGTGTGTGTGTGTGAGAGAGAGAGATCGAGAGATCGAGAGAGAGAGCGAAGGAAATAAGTAATCAAAAGAAAATGATAAGAACCACAGGAAAAAAATCATTAATCATTTAGTCAGATTCTGGAAGTAAGTTGGGCCGAGAAATTTTGAGCACTGCCTTGTTGTATTGTTTAATATTCTACTAGACATAAAATGGACGTGGATTTTATATAGTTATTAAGTAATAAAATGATCCCTCGAGAATTATCACACACTGGAACTGCTGAAAAGTTCTTGACCCAACTAAGAAAGGAATTTTAAAAATTGTGTCTATTCATTTAGTCAGATTTTACAAAATTAGTTAGATCGAGACCTTTCCAGTACAGGAGAATAAATGTTGGCGCGATAACGAAGTGAAGTCGGAGATGATATTCAACGAAAAACTCTATAAATTTGATTTTTATGTTCCACCAATGCAAAGCTCAAGACCCAATCAAGGTAGATAGTTACAGTATGAAGTGTGTGATAAGAGAA